TAGCAGATTAAAAAATAGGAACTACTTGCACGCATGAATACACTTTTGTCTTCTCGTGATTTGAAGGCGATTTAAAGATTCTAACAGAGTGAGCATACAAATCTGATGGGGAATCCAAATGAATTCAATAAGTTCACTCATAGCGCTCGTCACAAGGGGGAACTGAATCCTATCTATCAAATAAACATTAGACAAAATTTAGAATAGACATTTTAGAATGCTAGTGATTTTTTATACAAAAATAACAGCCAAAAAAAGTCACACCTCCGGTGGAAACTGTAAACCAGTACCTAATCATTTTGTTTTACAGCGCCCACGTTGGATTTTTAAAAAGACGATAACGATTTGAAATGCCCCCTCGTACGTAACTGTTAATGAGCCACTTGCACGAATGTGTATACTCTCTCGTCTTCTCGTGACTTGAAGGCGATTCAAAGCATTTGACTTGGCTAACAAATCTTATGAGGAATCCAAATTCCAAATGAATAGAGTAAGCTCAATCATATCGCTTGTAAAGGTCAAGGGGAACTGAATCCCATCAAACTCACATGAGATGAATGCAATAGAAAAATTAAACTCCTAGTGTTGTCTATGCCAAGAAAAAAGATCCCCCCCCCCCTCCCACGTCTTCCCAAAAAATTATAAAATCTGGTGGAGACTAAACCAGTAATCATTTCGGTTAATCGTAAATCGTCGTAAATCGACGTTGGATGTGTAGAGAGCAAACTATACTTTTAAAATGCTTTGTAACTTGCATACATAAGGCAACTAGGCAAGGCTTCTGAGCTACCTGCAAGCGTGTATGCTCTTTCGTGTTCTCGTGATTTGAAGGCGATTCAAAGCCTCTGATTTAGCGATCTAATTGTAAGTGATATGAGGAAAACGAACGGGGACGAGATAAGGACGATTCGACGTAGGATGGTGAGGGCGTGTGTGAGGGTGTGTGTGTGTGTGTGTGAGGGTGTGAGAGGGTGAGGGTGGGTGTGTGTGCGTGCGTGCAGTACGGGCCGACATATACTGATTGTGAGCGGATGCAAAATTCGAACGAAATGGTCAAAACTGTCTAAATGCAGCGGGTATCATTATCATTGTCGCGGCACGCGGAGCGCTGGCGAGCGCCGAGCCATACTACCATGGTCCATTGGATCATTATTGTTATTGGTAATGGGCATTTGGGCTAGGAGCTAAAGGAGCAAGGAGCATTGAGATCGGGAGGTAGGGTGGCGCAGCGGACCTCTGATACTTTACAAATAAATGGTTAGTAAAAAATGGAGTGAATGCGATAAGCGCATATATTTTGAATAAAAATTGATCTGATAAAGTAACTTAAGTAAATAGACGAGAATCGAGACCTGGTATTTTCATGGTTTGTGTGGTTAAATTAATTTGTTTTGTTGTGGGAGGAAGAGGGGGGGAAGATTAAGCAGGTGGAATGATTTTCGGTAATTTTATGTATACAGAACACATGGTAATAATATAATTTGCGGACAGAACTGCTACGGTACTTAATGCTGATGCTGTTATTTCAATCGAATTCGAAACGAAGAAAAAAATAAGAGGAAGAGGAATTCTGTACAACAATATGAAAATTCTGTAATTATTTGCTAAACATGGTAAATCTCATTTCAACATTACAAAATAACATTTCGATCGAAACGGCTTTCGAAACAAACGTTTCGATCGGGCATTTCGATCGAGCAGTTCGATCAAGCAATTTCGATCGAAACAGGTCTTCGAACGATGATCGAAATAATCGATCGATCGATCGATCGGTTCGGGGACAGGCCTAACTCCAACTAGTTTGGTAGGGCAGAGCGTAATGTATCTTATGAAAATGAAGGGGCCTTCGCAGTTCTCTAAGGATATCCCGACGTGACGGGGGCATTGGCCCATTCTACACGGTGACATTACTCGAAAAAAACCATGGTACAGATGGCATATACTTTTAATTCCTTCCC